TTCCCATTTTTTTAAGGAATGTCCACACTCTTCTCCATAGTGGCTATACTAGTTTGTATTCCCACCAACAGTGTAAGAGGGTTCCCTTTTCTCCACATGCTCTCCAGCATTTATTGTTTGTAGACTTTTTGATAGCAGCCATTCTGACTGGCTTGAGATGGTACCTCATTGTGGTTTTGATTTGCATTTCTCTGACAATGAGTGATGTTGAGCATCTTTTCATGTGTTTGTTAGCCATCTGTATTTCTTCTTTGGAGAAATGTCTGTTTAGTTCTTTGGCCCATTTTTTTATTCGGTCGTTTATTTTTCTGGTATAGAGCTTCATGAGCTGCTTGTATATTTTTGAGATTAATTTTTTGTCAGTTGCTTCATTTGCTATTATTTTGTCCCATCCTGAAGGCTGTCTTTTCACCTTGCTTATAGTTTCCTTCATTGCGCAAAAGCTTTTAAGTNGGAAAAAAAAAAAGATTTTCTGTTTCTTTCTGATTCAGTTTTGTAAGTTTATACTTTTCAAGGAATTTGTCCAGTTCTTCCAATTTGTCCACTTTATTGGCATATAGTTGCTGATAGTAGTCTCTTATGATCCTTTGTATTGCTGTGTTGTCTGCTGTGATTTCTCCATTTCATTTCTAATTTTGTTGATTTGATTCTTCTCTCTTTTTTTCTTGATGAGTCTGGCTAATAGTTCGTCTATTTTATTTACCTTCTCAAAGAACCAGCTTTTAGTTTTGTTGATTTTTGCTATAGTGTCCTTTGTTTCCTTTTTACTTTTTTCTACTCTAATTTTTATGATTTCTTTCCTTCTACGAACCCTAGGGTTCTTCATTTCTTCTTTTTCTAGTAGTTTTAAGAGTAAAGTTAGGTTATTTGTTTGATTTTTTTCTCTTCTCTCTTGAGGTAAACTTGTTTTGCTATGAACCTTCCCCTTAATACCGCTTTTACTGAATCCCATAGGTTTTGGGTTGTCCTGTTTTCATCTTCATTTGTTTCTATGCATATTTTGATTTCCTTTTTGATTTATTCCATGGTTTGTTGGTTATTCAGAAGTGTGTTGTTTAGCCTCCATATGTTTGTATTTTTAATAGTATTTTTCCCCTCTAGTTGACATCTAATCTTACCACATTGTGATCAGAAAAAATGAAATGATTTCAATTTTTTTGAATTTACCAAAGCTAGATTTATGACCCAGGATGTGATCTGTCCTAGAGAATGTTCGGTGTGCACTTGAGAAAAAGGTGAAATTCATTGTTTTGGGGTGAAATGTCCTATAGATATCAATTAGGTCTAAATGGTCCATTGTATCATTTAAAGTCTGTGTTTCCTTGCTAATTTTCTGTTTGGTTGACATATCCATAGGTGTGAGTGTGGTATTAAAGTCCCCACTATTATTGTGTTCTGTTAATTTCCCCTTTCATACTTGTTAGCATTTGCCTTATGTATTGAGGTGCTCATATGTTGGTTGCATGCTGCTGCTGCTGCTGCTAAGTTGCTTCAGTTGTGTCCAACTCATATATATTTACAATTGTTATATCTTCTTCTTGGATTGATCCTTTGACCATTATGTAGTGTCCTTCTTTGTCTCTTTTCACAGCCTTTATTTCAGGCTATTTTATCTGATATGAGTATTGCTACTCCTGCTTTCTTTTGGTCTCTATTTGCATGAAATATATTTTTTTCCAGCCCTTCGCTTTCAGTCTGTGTGTGTCCCTTGGTTTGAGGTGGGTCTCTTGTAGACAGCATATATGTGGGTCTTGTTTTTTGTATCCATTCAACCAGTCTTTGTCTTTTGGTTGGGGCATTCAACCCATTTACATTTAATGTAATTACTGATAAGTGTGATCCCATTTCCATTTACTTTGTTGTTTTGGGTTTGAAACAAACTTCTGTGTTTCCTGTCTAGAGAAGATTCTTTAGCATTTGTTGAAGAGCTGGTTTGGTGGTGCTGAATTCTCTCCGTTTTCACTTGTCTGTAATTATGAATTATTCATATGAATATGAATGCATATGAATTCTTCATATTTGAATGAGCTCCTTGCTGGGTATAGTAATTTGGGTTGTAGGTTTTTCTCCTTCATCACTTTAAGTATGTCCTGCCATTCCCTTCTGGCCTGAAGAGTTTCTATTGAAACATCAGCTGTTATCTTTATGGGGATCCCCTTGTGTGTAATTTGTTGCTTTTCCCTTGCTGCTCTTTGAGTTTGATCTTCATTAGTTTGATTAATATATGCCTTGGGGTGTTTTGCCTTGGGTTCATCCTGTTTGGGACTCTCTGGGTTTCTTGGACTTGGGTGGCAATTTCCTTCCCCATTTTAGGGAAGTTTTCTACTATTATTTCCTCAAGTATTTTCTCATGCCCTTTCTATTTGTCTTCTTCTGGGACTTCTATGATTCAAATGTTGGAGCATTTAACATTGTCCCAGAGGTCTCTGAGGTTGTCCTCATTTCTTTTAATATTTTTTTTCTTTTTTCCTCTCTGCTTCATTTATTTCCACCATCCTATCTTCCACCTCATTTATCCTATCTTCTGCTTCAGGTATTCTACTCTTGGCTCCCTCCAGAGGGCTTTTATCTCACTTATTGCATTATTCATTATTGATTGACTCTTCTTTATTTCTTCCAGGTCCTTGTTAAACATTTCTTTCATCTTCTAAATACTTGTCTTTAGTCTATCTGTAAGTCCATTTTGTTTTCAAGATTTGGGATCATCTTTACTATCATTATTCTGATTTCTTTTTCAGGTAATTCTCTATCTCCTCTTCTTTTATTTTTTTGGTGGGCATTTATCATGTTCCTTTACCTTCTGAATATTTCTCTGCCTTTTCATTTTGTTTAGATTGCTGTGTTGGGGTGCCCTTTATGTAGGCTGGATGTTTGTGGCTCCTCTTTAGTGTGTAGCCTGCTCCCTGTGGGTGGGGTTGGACAAGTGGCTTGTCAAGGTTTCCTGATTAGGGGAGCTTGCGTCTGTGTTCTGGTGGGTGGAGCTGGATATCTTCTGAAGTGCAGTGAAGTGTCCAGTAGTGAGTTTTGGGGTGTATGTGGGTTTGGCTGGCTTTGGGCAGCCTGTCTTTTAATGCTCAGGGCTGTGTTCCTGCTTTGCTGGAGAATTAGCATGGTATGTCTTGCTCTGGAGCTTGTTGGCTCTTGGGTGGAGCTTGGTTTCAGTGTAGGTATAGAGGCTTTGGGGTGAGCTCTTGCCTGTTAATGTTCCCTACAATAAAGAGTCAGTCTCTGATGTTCTCAAGTTTTGGAGTTAAGATCCCTGCCTCTGACTTTCAGTCTCATTCTTACAGTAGCCTCAAGACTTCTCCATCCATACACCACAGATGATAAAACATCTAGGTTAATGGTGAAACAGTTCTCCTCAGCAAGGGACACCCAGAGAGGTTCACAGAGTTACATGAAGAAGAGAAGAGGGAGGAGGGAGATAGAGGTGACCAGGAAGGGAAGAGGGGGAGTCAAAAGGGGAGAGACCAGTCTAGCCAGTAATCAGTTCCCTAAGTGTTCTCCACAGTCTGGAACACCCAGAGAGATGCACAGAGTTAAGTAGAGAAGAGAAGAGGGAGAGAGGAGATTGAGGTGACCTGGTGGAGAAAAGGGAAAGTCAAAAGGGAGAGAGCAATCAAGCCACTAATCACACTTCTCCTTTTGAAGAGAACGGGCCGACTTTCTGGGTGCCTGGTGTCCTCCACCAGCATTCAGAAGTTGTTTTGCAGAAGTTATTCAGCATTCAGATGAGCTTTTGATGAATTTGTGGGGGAGAAAGTGGTCTTCCCATCCTATTCATCTGCCATCTTGGGACCACCCCCCAACTGGCCAATATATTTCATGGAGGTACTTATCATCTAACTTTTCCTTTGAATTTTTCAAAAATTATGTAAAAAACTAAAGTGTGAATACTGAGAATGTTATATCTAGAATGCATCAGATCTAGAATAAATACTTGAACAATTATGATGTCTTACCTTCTCCAGTGGAATTAATTTTTCCTGATTCTTTCTGTATTTACTTTTGGTTTTTAAATTCTTGACTTCAAAAGTTGGAATTCTGATATATCACTTCTGAACTCTTTTTTTCTATAGATGCTATGTCTTTATATTTAGTTATAATTTATATTTGTTCTTGTTTTTTGAAGTAAGAGTATATACATGCACACATTAGTTAAAATGAAGCTAAAACAGATCATACACAATGCAGTATAAATTAGATATTGTTCAGCTGGAAACCAGAATGAGGTAGTTTCTGAAATGCATTATTTTATTTAACTATGAGTTTTCTGTAAAACAAGGAAAAAAACAAAAACATTTCCATTTCTCCAGTTTAATAAGAAAGCCGAGTGTCACTGAAGTTTTAGGTAACAGAATGACTCTCTTCTCTGTGGCCAGATGTGCCTTTCTCAAACTCTTCATCTCCCCCTTCATCTATTTACAAAACCTTGTATTACATATTCAGTAAAGAATTACCTTTTCTTTGAATTATTCATTGATAATTATATACTGTCACTTGGAGAAGGAAATGGCAAACCACTCCAGTATTCTTGCCTGGAAAATTCTATGGAGAAAGGAGCCTGGAGGGCTACAGTCCATGGGATTGCAAGAGTCGTTCACAACTTAGTGACCAAACCATATACCTGTCATTAATTGGATGCCTATCACATGAGAGACAAATAGCAAACACTGAATTATCTCTGACCTTCACAATAATCCTGAAGGATTCCTGCTTAAATATCTTCTTTACAGATGATTAAACTGAGACTAAGATTAAACTGACTTCATTAAATTTGCATGAAGTCAGATAGCTGTTAATAGTTAGGATAGAATTCTTGATCTGAATCCCAATAGTGGTTTGTAATTGAAAGATATCCACATATAGAATGTTCTTTAAAAATATACATATTTCCGTAGTTGTATAATAACTGTGTAACCTTTATTTACTGTTCTTTGTAAGAGGGAAAGCATATGAAACCTATATTGACATGTGAATATTACTGTATTTTCTTATAGCCTGTGAACTTATGAATCAAGGCATCTTGGCCCTGGTCAGCTCCATTGGCTGCACATCAGCGGGATCCCTCCAGTCTTTGGCAGATGCCATGCATATCCCCCACCTCTTCATTCAGCGCTCCACAGCTGGGACCCCAAGGAGTGGCTGCGGACTCACCCGGAGCAACAGAAATGATGACTACACTCTCTCTGTTCGGCCACCTGTCTACTTAAATGACGTTATCCTGAGAGTGGTCACGGAATATGCCTGGCAGAAGTTCATTATATTCTATGATAGCGAGTATGGTAAGTGTTTGTTACTTGCATGAGTTTTGTAAGCTGCTATTTATGGCAGTTATTTTGTTGAATCTTGAAAAACTTGAAGAAGTTATTATTATTTGTGGTTTTCATGTCCTGTCATATTCTTCCAAATCAGGCACCAATGACAAAAAATTTTGTTAAGACCTCAGGTTCAATCTTTTGCATATATCTTGATCTTTCAAATAATGGGAAGTTATTGAAAACAATGCTGTATTTTTTCCTCTTTCAAAAGCATTTATACCTACATATAATAATAAAAGAATAATTTTGGGCTGATTGTAGAACACTTAAAAATATTACCCATTTCTATTTTTCAGTTAAAAAATATATATCTGAAGTATTTTTCTTATGCTCTTGTATAGACTTTAGAATCTACTTAGTACTTAACACTTTGAGGGTCATTGAAATTATAATGCCTTATATTTAGCCTAGCATATTGTCTCCAGTGTGAACTCTCACAAAAATACTGATTAGTATAAAGATACTTAATTTATTTAACTTTCCAAGGTAAAACACAAGGCATTTTACTTATATCATTTTACTATATCTTAAGAAGATATTTTATCTCAATATTTTTACTTGTGCTACATTAACAAAAGTAAGCAAAAATAGGGCTTCCCAGGTGTAAAGAACTCTCCTGCCAATGCAAGAGACATAAGAGACTCAAGTTTGATCACTGAGTCAGGAAGATCCCCTGGAGGAGGGCATGGCAAGCCACTCCAGTATTCTTGCCTGGAGAATCCCATGTATAGAGGAGCCTGGCAGGCTGCCATCCATAACATCACAATGAGTCAGACACAACTGAAGTGGCTTAGCACACATTTAATAGTAAATAATTAAATAATGTTATTTTTGTTTAAACACTTTTTTCCCAAGTTAAAATATACCTGTTTTCTATCTGACTAATCCCAGAGATTTTCAAACCTAGTTTCTCTCTTATTTTTGTCACTAGGAAGAGAGGAGAGTAGAGATTGATAGGTTCAAATGAGAGGAAATAAACAGATTTTGATAAGGAATATATATTGTGACACATGTGCTTCCTTAGAAATTTGCCTTAAGAAGGAGACAGAAAAAAAAAATTCCTTTCAGTGTGGATGGGCCTGGTTTTTACATTTTTATTTTAAAACGTTAAGATTTATGCTCTAAAGTGCAACTTATTTTCCTTGCAAATAAATAACTATTTAAAAATGAGAGTTTTCTTACCCTAATCTGCTCAGCATTTTGAACATAGAGAACAGTTACACAAGAGTGACCAGAAAGTGACATCAATAGAACCAAGCACAAACAGGTTGGCAGAGAGCTGGGAGCAGCAAACAAGAGCTCCTGTGGACTCCTAGGGACAGAAAGCAAGTGGCAGCTACATTAGCCCTAAATTTTCAAAGGTCACATGGGGTTTGGGCAGCTGAGTTCCATTAAACTTGATGGGTAGACTTCAGCCAAAATTCTGTGACACTCTCTAAAAGCACAGTCCTTTGTCCCCAGGACGGAAATCCTTATTTTGTTGCTTAATTCATATTACTTAGGGGTCACAGAACGAAGACCAAGAGACTAAAATGAATAAAGTAAACAAAAAGGAAATAAAAATAATTGGCTCATCAGTAAAAGTAAGGATGGAACACAAATCTGATAGTCACTAGTAGAATTATTTAGTGAACATAGTAAACTCTAGCGCTACTGTCAACATACTGAGTATCCCTTTGTCAATTTTTTCTAGTCAGATTATCTATGGATTTTATAACCATGAATTGTATTCTCATGACCTCTACTCAAACATAATTTGAAATATTGAATTTTTAAATTCTAAATCTTTATTTAAGAGGAGAAAACACTGCTTAGTTAGTCCTATCAAATTGTCTGTAAAATAAATAACAGAAAAATAACTTTTGATGATGTTTCTACAAATTAAAATGAGATTTTTACTGTATGATTACAAACATCCATGAGAAAAGAAAATTCCTTATTATCTTGTTCCCAAGTCCTACATGGATTACACTTAGGGAATTCTTATAAAAGAAGACATTTTGATTACTGGTAAGTAATTTTTTAAATGTACACTAAATTCATGGCCACACACTCCTTTGCATACATTTGAATTTCCCCAATCTCTTTTCTTTCGATTTCGTTTGAATAAATAAGATGCTTACAATCACATATTTGTATCCTCTTAGAAGCGGTGTTTGTTTTAGGAATAATGAAAACATTTTCCTTTACTCTGATGATAAACTTTATTTTAACTTATTTAATTTAATAATTCATGAAAAAATATCCTGATTGTACTTTTAAAATCATTTCCAGTAATACTCTTCTTCAATGAAAGAAAATTTTCCTTTGATACTTAGAATAAATCTTGCTAGTAAAGAACTGGGCTATAATCCAAAATAAACATCAAGCTATCCAAATATCTTGTATCTTGAAGAGGGCTACATGTATTTACATATACATTCATCATAGTCCTCATTTTAAGTTCAAACATTAAAATTATACTTGACTTTTATCTTGGTTATCAGGAGTTACTTTCATTAAGGAATAGATTAAGCATCATCCATGGATGGAATCAGGCCACCTGCTGAAGCCAAATGTTATTGAAGATGTATTTTGCTTAGAAAAATATACTTAAAGAAAAAGATTAGGCTTCTTATCCAGTTTATCAGAGGAACACTTTTTTCAAAAGCAGTTAATTATGATTATGAGCTTAAATTAAGATTTAAGTTGGCTTAAAGCTCAACATTCAGAAAACTAAGATCATGGCATCTGATCCCATCACTTCATACCAAATAGAAGGGGAGACACTGGAAACAGTGACAGACTTTATTTTTTGAACTGTACTGAACTGAGAAGTATGAGCCCAGTGTAAAAGTCTACTATAAATTCCTTAACAAAGAAAATTCAAATCTTTGACTCTTAAGTAAGTGGATGAAGACCCTGGTTTGATTCCTGGGTTGGGAAGATCCCTTGGAGAAGGGATAGGCTACCACTCCAGTATTCTTGGGCTTCCCTTGTGTCTCAGCTGGTAACGAATCTGCTTGCAATGCAGGAGACCTGGTTTTGATACCTGAGTTGGGATGATCCCCTGGAGAAGGGAAAGACTACCCACTCCAGAAATCTGGCCTGGAGAATTCCATGGACTTTATAGTTGATGCAGTCACATAGAGTTGGGCACAACTGAGCAACTTAAAAAATAAAAGAAAGAAAATGGGTGAAAAGACAAAAAAAAGTGTGAAACTCTATTTGAATGGAGTAATTCAAGACATTTTTTAAAAGACTTGAAGTGTTGACCTTTTAAAACTGTGTCATTCAAGAAATATTCATTATTCCCTTGCTTAGTGAAAATGAAAAACATGACATTAAAAATTTTACAGAATGTAGTCTTTACCTTTAAGAACATAATTAAAATAGAAAATATTTATAATAATCTCTTAATAAAGAAAATAGTATGCTGTGTCATAAATAATATAAACTGAGTGCTAGTGGTATGCAGTGAAGAAAGTGTTTAATTTAGGCAGCAGTGGTCAAAGAAGGCTTCATGGGTAGACTCTGATCTTGATTATTGCCTCTCAGAATCTTACCTAACTTTCACAGTGTTTGAGAGACAGCAACTCCAATAGACACTGTGAACAAATCTTATAGAAATAAAAATATTAAAAATAGTATCTCTGAGCATTTTTATTGGCCAGGCAGTAGAATAAATATTTTACATTATATTATTGAATTTTCTCAATAGCTCTATGAAGTAGATTATAGTATTATCACAATTTTACAAATTGGAAAACAGAAACAACTGATGGGTAACTTGTTTATGAAATATACCTAAGAAGCATCATTACTGAGTTTAAAGTCTGACCAGAGCACATACTCCTGACCATGTATAATGAGTATGAAGAGATTGCAGTGAACTATCACACCAGAATATAACAAGGGGATAATCTTATAGGGAACATTTATTGATATCCAGGCTCTGTTGTAAATGCTTTCGTGTTCATTTAATTCTCATAGCAGCTCTGTGAGGTAGATGATGTTGATGATGGTAATTATATTACAGATGAAAAAAGCTGAGGTAGTAAGAAGTCAGGTGACTTGAAACCAAGTTCCAAAAGCCTGAATTCAAGCACTGATAGTGTCTCTTCCTGCTTTCAACTACTGGACTATTTTGATGCTATAGAAATAATAAGATTAATTTCTGACACAAATTTCTTAAGAATTTACAAATGAAAATGTGTCAAAGCATACCTGACTTTAAGCCTGCATATTAATATCATTCAAGAAAAAAATGTTGTACATCAATTCTGGAGGTTTGTTTATCATTGTAAATTTGGAAACAGGACAGTCATTGAGTCAAAGTAGGCTGACTTCTCAACAGAAATAGCTGCTTGCCTATACAATAACCGTTCTCCTCCTTAGGCCAAATTTGCTTGAGACGGTAATACTTCCAGTTGAAAAACTATAGTCCCCAGATTGCTTCCAGCTGGGGCCCTAATGTGTTATAATCAAGGACTGTGAAGGGTCTGAGATTTTTGCCCTGTGTGTGTGCGAGCGTGCGTGCTCAATTGCTTCTGTCGTGTTTGACTCTTTGCGATCCCACGGACTGTATCCTCAAGACTACTCAGTTCATGGGATTCTCCAGGCAAGAAAACTGGAGTGGGATGCCATTCCCTTCTCCAGAGGATCTTCCTAACCCAGGAATCGGATCCTTCATCTCCTCCATTACAGGCAGATTCTTTACCACTGAGCCACTAGAGAAGCCCTGAGATTTTACCCTACTTGCAAGCTAGCCTGACTCAATTATAGGTACGCTGGCAGAAAACACTAAGCTCCTGAGTTAGAGGGAGAGGACTTTAATACTTGGGGCACAGCAAGCAACATGAGCCTTATCGTAGTTAAAACTTTCTGTTCGTATTAGACACCATTAAGGAAATAAATAGCAAACTGTAAACTGGGGCATTAATTTCAATACATATACCTGAAAAACTTATGCAAATACATAGACT